GGAGGGGTCGGCCGATTTAGCCCCCTGGCTGAACCGGCTACCCTGCAGCTGAACCAAGCGGTCAACATAATAAGCCCGGCGTCAACCTCCCTACTGCTCAGTTCAGTCTAAGAAGCCCCGTGTCAACCTCCCTACCACCTACAATTCTGCGTTTCCACTAACTCTATACGTAGCCCAACACTGGCGATTCTTGCCCTGGGCAGTCTTTTGTGTTTGCCGTTGCTTTCCTATTTTTAAGTATCATGTTTGTATCTCTCTTGAATTTCAACAATAAAATTATCATTCTGTTGAACTCCGGTATCACTCAATGTCAACCTTACTTCATACATGAGAGAAACCAACCTTTTAAGAAGATTATTAATTATTCTTTGTGGGCTAATTAGTTTGTGTGTATTTGTGTCCCTTGTGTGTGTGTGAGGGGTGGGAGAGGCTGGGTGGGAGTGCGTGGATAGGGATGCGGTAATAAAATGTATGTATTAATGGTTCTGTATATGATGGATGTTGCATGGATGTTTAGATGTTTGAAATCAATTTATGGATGTACTTTTGGATACATCTTTGTTTGAATAAGCATCATTTGTAGCTTGAAATTAAAGTTGCATCTTCTGGATCGGATCGTTTAGTTTCATTGGTAGCTTATGAAGAAAGAAATTGTTGCAAGGGGAATATGGAAATGTATTTGTCTTAAGATCAATGGATTCGGTATTTTTTTATAAAAATAATTTTATTTTGGGTGTTGCCACATTTCAAGTGGAAATGTGGGCAATTCGGGTGAAAGTTTAGAGTCATTTGGTTGGCACAATTATTTCAGTTGTAGTTAGTGCAATGGAAGAAGGAAATAATTTTATGTGTCACTTGAAGAATTAATTTTGAGCGTTTTATAACATCATTCATTCATAAGCCGAACCAAAAAATTTGGGAGTTCATTAATGATGTATTTTTTGCTATATTAAAGTTAACACTAATGCTTGATGGGAAACTGGAAATAAGATTATAGTACCTGACCCTTGAGGGAGCCAAAATTCTATATTTGTGTCCTCAAGTTTGCAATAATCATAGTCATCTTCATTAATCTTCCTTTGTTTTTTCTCTGAGTGTCAGGATTCTTATGTAGGATACATAAGATAAAACAAAAGTTAATTAGTATAATGGCATTTGACATAACAATTCCTTATTTTTTTAACATCAATGTATTAAGTATATGAACCTTCTTCTATCCATACATCTCTGAAATTCAATTTATAATGGAATATGAGATAGTGGGCACTTTCATTGAAACTCCATTTATTTTTCACATTTTCTAGATTACGTTTTCTGTTTTCTGAATGAAATTTTAATTTTCAATTTATTCCATTTTCACGTGTTAGATCAACTTTCCAGGTGGATAACCTGGTAGCGGAAATTGTTGAGACGAGACTGGGAAAACAAGTAATTCATCTTTGTCATGAATATCTATCATATATTTTCTTCTTGCTTAATGGTTAACCACATTTTTCTTTTTATCTTTTTTTTGCTCAGATTTCAAAAATACGGCCATCCTTATCTTTCATTGGGGGCGAGGAGGTGATGAGTCTGGTTACTGCTCAAGGTGTTCAAACGGCTCTTAATTTTAAATATTTTAAGCATCTTTGAGTACAGTAACTTTACAATCACTGTTATCGTTGTTGATAGTGGCTGAGTGTCGTGAGCTGAATATGGTCTGGAAAGACATTCTAAATGCTGATGGGGATGAAATATACATAAAGGTACCATCTTTTCTGCCAAATTTAACTGAATAAATGCACATTTAGATTTATTTGAATAAAAAGTAATTGAGAATAAACAAATAGCTTGCCATAGTTCATCGTTTATGAATCTAAATTCTATCTAAATTCTTATAGAACTGCGTATTAAAACTGTGCTATTTTAGGAAATTGGCTTCTATATGAAGAAGGGTGAGACCGCATCATTTGCAGAGCTTTCCGAGAGAGCCATTTTACGTCGCGAAGTTGCAATTGGTTTTGTGAAACAAAATAAGCTGGTAAAAAGCTCACACAGTATTCAAACTGTCCATGATATCAGCAGCTCTTTTTTTATTGACATCTGATTAAATTTCTTTTATAAAAAAAAATTGCAGGTCATTAATCCAAGCAACAAGTCAGATCCGCTCACATTTGATATGACCGATTCACTTATCGTAATATCTGAGCTTGAAAGATAGCAGCCTATGGTTTACTATGGCTAAGTTATGATCATTCTTAAAGAGTTAAATCTCCACAAACCAAGTCGTTTCCATACCGGCCTTTTATGTACCATTGAAATACTTGGGCAAAACAAGCTTTTGTTTCCAGAATAATGGGGATGCAAAGAGCAGCATTCACAGCATGATCTATGTTACTTCATTCCAACGTTTTTTGTTTAAATAAATTTGAATATTTGTGTAAAATCCTGATTCAGGAACATTTGAAGGTATTGCTTCATTTTTGTCTCTTTTAGGCTTTACAAATTTTAGAGTTGCAAAATCTGGGAAAATATCCATCGCTATGAAAGACTGATAGCATTAGTGCCACAAGAAGTGGGATTAAATTAAGTAAAAAGAAAATAAAATACTGCAATGCATTTAGAAGAAACATGCAATCGATGAACTGAGAAAATACAAATTTAATCGATTGCATGTTTCTTCTCAGTTTTCTTGATTCTTGTTTTTTGGTTTTCTTTTTATTTTCTTGTTCTTGATTTTTGCGAAATGAATATATCTCTGATTGGGTTGGTGTAGCTCCTATGATGGACAAAATTAGAGAAAGTCGTCTTAGATCGTTTGGTCATATTAAACATCGACCATCTGATGATCTGATTAGGAGAGTAGATGTTTTAGATTCGACTTGTGTTAAGAAAGGCAGAGGTTGACTTAGGAAGCCATGGGCTTATTGTATAAAAAATGATCTTAATTTACTAGAACTAAATGAAAATATGACGCTAAATAGGACGCAATGGAGAAAAAAGATTCATGTAGCCGACCCCACGTAGTGGGATTAAGGCTTTGTTGTTGTTGTTGTTGTTGTTAATCTTTTATGTTTTATGTTTTTTGTGAGATTTCATTGCTTGTGGTCTCGCAGGGAAAATTCCTTTTTCATGAGATGACTGTTTGACGCGGGTGCGAAGGTCCCCAAGTGGATGGGATGCAGGTGCTGGAAGGCTCCCGTGCGAGCGGCAACAATGGATCGGTCCCAACCGGTCCTGGGAATTCTCGAGCCAAGCGGCTCGGACAAGCCTCTTGACAAGGCGAACGGCCTCCCACGCCTCTGTCCGCCTTCCAGTTCTGCGTCTTCTTCGTATGGAAGTATTTTAATGGTTATTTCTGGATTTTCTTACATCCCCGCCTCTTCCTATTGTGTAAGAAGTTTCCTTCTTTAGTAGTTTCCTTTCTTTCATCAATATGAGTTTATATATATTTGTTTTCAGAGAGTTATGGTAGTTTTTGTTGTGTGTTGATTTAAACTTTCTGTGTGGAGTCTTTTTCCCTTTTGTGGGTTGTATCTTGAGGAGGTGGTAGTGCTCCAGTTGTATCATACTCCAAGATGGTGATTGTATCTCCCCTTTTATCCATCCTACTTAGTCTCCTCTACTTCCTTTAACCGTCGGCCATCCCCAACAGCTTATCCCTGCACTGCCGACCTTGTTTCTGCTGCAGCAACTTGCTGTACAGCTCTTTCCCCTCCACTTTCCTAGCAGCCAGCCGTCCCAAATGCAGTTTTGTTGCTCCCAACTGTTGTCCCACCTTTCCGGCTTCCTACCCCACCTTTCAACCAACCTCCACCGCTCTAGGGATACACTCTCGAGGTATTTGTTTGTGTCGTTTGTGTTTTTGTGATGTTATTTTCCGTTTATGTGTGTTGTAAACCTCCTTTCCTATTAATAAAAGTTGATTTTGTGGTTTGGGCATCTCTTCCGGTATCAGTGTTTATCGCACATTTGCCCTATATTGTGGTCCTTTCATTCTCAACTATGCTCTTTTAATAATTTTGAATTATTTTATTTTATCACATTTTCCAGTTGAAGGCTTCTAAATTTACTACCTATCTGAAGTTGGAAGCTGGATTAATGATAAAAAACCCAGTGCAATTGTTCATGTTTTGACAAGGTTGACCTATATATGTTATCATAATGTATGATAATATTAAAATGCGTATAGGTAGGGTTTGCAAGTATATGAAGTTTTAGAGCAATGACTCCATTTGAAATAGAAATTGGTTTTTAAGTATTTACAAACGAAAATATAAGATTGTGGGTTCTGAAAATATCTCATTTGATATTAGCTGTATGCATATATGATTTATTTTATTTTTATTTTTCATAAGGTAATTTGCAGAGTATGTAAGTCATTACTCTTATTTTACTCTCTTTTAATGATTCAGAATATGATTTGTTTTTCTTTTTTCCTTTTTTTTTTTTTGTTTCCCCTTAGAAGAGAAGCATATAGAAGAGAAGCCCCTTAGAAGAGAAGCATAAAACTAAGTTAAATGTTGTCAAGATGAGAATGATTAGGTGGATGAGTGGCTTTACACTTAGAGACAGAATGCGAAATGAATATATTTGTGATAGGATTTGTGTAGCTCCAGTGACAAGACAAAATTAGAGCAATTCGTCTTAGATGGTTGGTCACATCTAATGTCGACTTTATGATGAAAGAGTAGATGTTTTAGATTCGACTTATATTAAGAAAGACAGAGGTAGGCTTAGGAAGACTTGGGCATATTGTATGAAACATGATCTTAATTTATTAGAATTAAATGAAAATTTGACACTAAATAGGATGCAATGGAGAATAGGATGCAATGGAGAAAAACTAAATAGGATGCAATGGAGAAAAAGATTCATGTAGCCGGCCCCTCTTAGTGGGATAAAGGTTTTGTTGTTGTTGTCGTCGTTCTTTTTGTTTGTTCCCCTTAGGCATGAACTATTATGATTAGTTATCCTTGATTGAGATAATCTTTCTTAGGCAGGAACTTTTATACATTTTGTAATGTTTTGGTTTTAGTCGAGTAATTTTAAATTGGGAGAAAAAGGATTTTCATTATGGGGTTCAACGTGGATGGTGCGTGGATTCAATTAAAATCTTATTAATGTCATCATAAGATACATGGGATGCTGATCAAGTTAATCAATGAAGTCAGTCAACTCAAATTAATTGAAGGTTTTTGTCAAAATTGGAGAGTTGTTTTATTCAAAGGGGCCTTGTGAATTTAGGGTTAAAGCTTCACTATTTGGCCAATTTTTAGTATTGACGTTAAATAATTGAGTATCTTCTTTTATTGAAAGCAACTTATGGCTCATAAAGCATAATAGTTAGCTATTGAAAACATCAGTAGGTTGTAATCATAATGTAATAGTATCATGATTGGACTAAACACTAAGTTAAGGGCATATGGATTAGACTAACTCATCAGTAAATGATGTGGATATCAACTATTTCAATTAGTAGAGGCTTTGAAAATTGTTGCTAAGATGTTAGATTTGTTCTCTTCTTATACAAAAATGGTCTCTCATCTTGGAGAAAATATTACATCCAGATTCCGGATGTCTGGACAACGGCCCGGATGCAGCAAGGAGGGTGGAGGTCCGATTCCTCCCCTCCGCTGCATTCGGGCTGTTGTTCGGATATCCAGAGTCTAGATGTAATATTTTCTCCTCATCTTGTAGACTTTTATATTTGGAATTTTATTTTATAACAGGTTTATGCTCTAGTCATCTTGCGTGGTAAAAATTCATCAATTTTTTATTTTTTTAATAAATTAATGTTTGAGTAATGTAATTAAATATTTAAAATTAAAAAAGAATTATATATTTATATACAATATTATAATTACTTATTCTTATCTATAATATCAAATTTTTGCTGCTTTTTAATGAAAAAAAAAATCATTTAAAATTTGATAATAATTTCATCAAAAATAAATAGAACTCTTTTAAGGATACTTAAAAATATATTAAATGAGAAGAAGGCCATTCTTTTATTTGACAGTTTATTAAGCTCTTTATCATTCAAGAGATTTTAAAATTTTGAAAGAAAACTGATCATCTCGTATTATGGTTCTAATTTTTAAAATTTTAAATGAACATTTTTCTGATTTAAATTAATAAATGTTGTATAATATTTGATTTTAATTATAAAATATGTAACTAAATGTTAATCCAAAACTGTTCGGGAGATATGATTAAGGATGAGAGCTCGAGAGAGTAAAGAGAGTAGAGAGCTTTAGAAAATAAGGATATCTAATTATATTTTGTACTCTAAGAAAAATAGGTATGATTGGGGTGTTTTGGTTGGTACATAATTAATTATGAGGTCGGGCATTTGAAATGTTGTCCGGTCGGATGGGGCCTAGAGTTTAGGAAGGTCTTCGATCAAATTTTCGGTCGGGTGGCCATGTGTCAAGGGTCTGATAGAATCACCGATCGGGCCATATTTCAAACGGCGATGGAAACCACCAGTTGACCGCTTTAGGTAAAGAAGATTGTTATTATTTGTCCAGCTTGGTTGAAGAATGTCGGCGGCTTCATTAGTGTGAGTTTTTGTAACAGCAGATTTCACGGACGCGACTAAATTCTGCTCATTCTTAGATTTCCTCCTTCCCGACCTGCAGATGTCAGCCTGCTAAGCAGGTGCTCTTGAACTTTCCTAGTCAGCCAATGCACTATTTTTTTCAGCTACAAGATCTCTTCAAGTTTCATGCTATACATTCTTGATGTACACTCAAATTCGTTAAAATAATAATATTCCGGCCGACTAGTGGTTCCTCTATTCTGTTTTCTATGACTGAAGAAGTTCTAATAGTTGCCTCCCTTTTAGTCCTCTTTTAAATATTAACAAATAAATTAATGAATATTACTAAGATGAAGTTCAAATGAAGGCAAGAAATGTTATTTTCGGTCCCAAATTTAGGATAAAATATCATATTCAAACTCCGAACGCAATTAGGGTTTAGGGTTTACGTTCGAAGTCTAATGGTTGGACGTCATGTGTCAAGTAGACCCCGCCTCGAATGCATCTAGGAGTCCTTATATAATATTTTTCTAAATTTAGACAATAAGGAGTTTTAAGACAAAGTTTATAAATTAATGGTGATAATTTCTTATTGTCTGTGTTACTGTGTTTTAAATGACGTTAGAGAAATTAATAAATTGATTTATATAATGACATTGAAGGCCCAAGAATGGAAGTGGGATGAGCTTCCGTCGAAGGAAATGGTGCCTCAACATTTCGTTGGAAGGGAAGAAGCAGAAGCCCGATGGGAGATTGTAGCCCCCTTCATCTTCCCCTTATATGTGACAGATCAGCACTCTAACCGACGACTGAGCTATTTACCCCTGTCGTGGATGACAGGGAAGAAGCTAGACGGCCGAGACCGTCGCAGCGCTACTCTCCGGAGTTCTCCTCCGGCGAACTTTCTCTTCTTCTTCATTCCTCTTCCGTACAATTCCTTGTAACACCGGCGCTATGAGGCCTTTGTCTGTGATCCAATTAAAAAGATTTAGCTCACCTCTCTCTGTGTTCTTTGATTCAATTTGCTTTCCTCTTTATTTATGTTCTTCTTTTTCATCAACAGAAAACACAAGCTGTTGGGATCCAGCTGTTTCTCTAGATCTCAAGCACCCCACTCTTCTCTTCCTCGAGAAGAACTGCATAACCATTCACCATTTCAGAGAGATCTTGGCCCAGATGATGCGGCTTCATCTCACTGCCCAGACTTTCCCCATGAGTAGGCTTCTTTACTTTGCCGCAGTCTCCCACCCTGAGCATCTTCTGCATTATGCTTTTCTCCTCTTCCAACACTTCACTCCCAATCCCAATCTGTTTGTTTTCAATACCATGATTTCAGCTCTCTCTTTTTCACTGACCCAATCAATATCAATGTACAAATTGATGCTTTGCTGCCGAATTCGCCCTGATGAACACTCTCTACTTTCCCTTCTCAAGCTATGTTCTTGCTTGTCTGTTACCAAACAGATTCATACGCATATTATTGTGAATGGATTCAATTGGCATGTATATTTGCAGAATTCTCTTATCAACATGTATATGGTGTGTGGGAAACTAGAGTCTGCCTATCAGGTGTTTGAAATAATGCCCCTGAAGGATGTAGTTTCGTATAATACCATGATATCTGGATATGCTAAGAAGAGTCATAGCTGGGAGGCTTTCGAGCTGTTTCATGAAATGGTTCGTTCCGGTATTGAGTTAGATCTGTATACTGTGGTAGGACTTCTGCAGTGTTGTGTTCAGCTTAAAGATGAGGTTTTGGGGAAGTCTGTTCATGGATTGGTGATGAGGAGATTGTCAACATGTGAGGCCTCTCTGGTTGTAAACAATGCTCTCATGGGCATGTACGCTAAGTGTGAGCAGATGAGAATTTGTCTGAAAGTTTTTGAGGAGCTTGAGAAAAAAGATAGTATATCATGGAATATTATTATATCTGGTTTTGTCAATTCTGGAGAATTAGATATTGCCTGCCAATACTTTAGCAAGGCACCCATTAGAGATTTGGTTTCATGGAACTCACTGCTTGGCGGATTTGCCCGTAAGGGGGACTGGAGAGCAATGATGAACTTCTTTGAGAAAATGCTGGCTCAGAATGTCAAACCTGATAAAATTACAAGCATAACTCTAGTTTCTGCTGCTTCAGAAATGGGAGTTCTGGATCAAGGAAGATGTGTGCATGGATGGGTGGTGAAGGCGCATGGAAGTGCTGATGCATTCTTAGGATCTGCACTGATAGATATGTACTGTAAGTGTGGAAGCAGTGGAAGTTCTCTTCAAGTTTTTGAGTTGATTAAAGATAAAGACATTACTGCATGGACAGCCATGATCAGTGGGCTTGCATTCCATGGCCATGGAACCAAAGCTTTAGAAATATTTGGGAAACTTGGGGAAGGAGGCCTAGTGCCTAACTTTGTCACCTTGATTGCTGTTCTTACTGCTTGCAGTCATTCTGGGTTGGTGGACGAAGGACTAAGGATTTTCAGTAATATGAAACAGGAATATGGTGTTGAACCGGGAGTAGAGCACTATGGGTGTCTTGTGGATCTTCTTGCTAGATCAGGGAAGCTTAATGAAGCAAGAGATGTGATTGGAAGGATGCCGATGAAGCCGACCCAATCAATGTGGGGAGCTATTTTGAGCGCTAGCAGAGCCCATGGTGATATGAAACTTGCAATGGAGGCTTTAAACAAACTTGTAGTGTTAGAACCTGAGGATGATGGTGGCTATGTCTTGTTGTCCAATGTATATGCTTCTTGTGGGAGATGGATTTATTCGGATATGGTTAGAGAGATCATGGAAGGAAGAGGAATAAAAAAGAATACAGGTTGGAGCAGTGTGGTTATTGATGGGGTTCTTCATGCTTTTGTTTCTTCAGATAAGAGGCACTCAAGTTGGGATGAACTTTGTATTTCACTATGTCAGTTGCATGAGGAAATGAGTCTCCTAACTGAGACAATGTGAAGCATTCCACAGATTGAGTGATTGCTGAAATCATGGCTTCTTTTGCCTTTATGTTTTGCAAGTAGTTGTCAGGTACAGTTCTTCAAAATTCTTTAGTTTTATTCTCTGTTTTTTAGGAGAATATTTGTTCAAGTAAAATCTGATTAATTTATCCCCCTTGATTCTTATAGTTTTGTATTTGTTCTTAAAGGAAGTACAGACTGAAAATTTAGTGAGCTGCAGATTAGAAAAAACCTCTTGTACAATCTTAAAGGAAGTACAGCCTTACAATTTAATTGGCTGCAGGTTAGAAAAAACGTCTTGTACAATCTTTTGTCTTTCTTCTTTTGTGATTTCAGTTTTATTGGTTCATTTCTCTAGTCGAGCTTTCTTATTTAAATTTGTGACATTGTTTCTATTTTCTTATAACTCTCCTATTGGAAATTTTAGAAATTCTATATGAATGTATGATCTTTCCCAGCAACAAAGGTGGGAGAAACCCATTCGAGAAGCCCTTTTGAATTAACAAATCTTGAAAAAAAAAATCTCTTTTTTCTCCTTTCTTTTTTCTCTCTCTCAATTTAATTATTTTTTTTCTTTGTTTATGATTCCTTTTGATATTCTAGAGTCCTCTTGCTCCGATCGTCCTTAAGGCAAGCCATGAAGTTTTAGGGAGTGAATCAAAGGAAGACTGAAGTTGAGCTAGATATAACAGTTGCCAAACATATTTTTAGCCTGAAAGCTTAATCTTATGGGTGATGGTCAATCACTTGGTATTGCTAAATCGATGGATTCTTAAACAAACTTATGTGAGACAAAACTCAAAGTCTCATGTGATTTAACAATCTCCTCCTCTCTGTGTGCTCTCTATATCGGCTATTACTCCCCGTTAAACAAAAAATTTTCAACTTCAATTTACTGAACCACATAAAGGCACTATGGGAAGCCATTTGCTCTTGAATCTTTGCTTAGTTATTGTGAAAGGCGGTTCAAATCCCATAACAGCCTCAAACCATATGAATCACTCGATCTTAATCAAACCATCTTCTTAATGTGTTACCACTTGTTAGGAGAATGAAGCAACTGGGGACAAAAGTTGGGCAAAATAAATTGTGGCCAAACTCATCCCAAAAGTTTTGGTCTATAGGTGAGGGCCGATCATTTAATATTTCTACGTCAACATATTTTTCAACTATTTAATATGAAACTAAGTACAAAACATTACATGTTTTGCCATTAAGAGCAATAATGCGAGCCAACATACATGAGACAGAGATTGGGGTTATGGGATATGGAATATTATGCATCCTTAGTAATAAGGAGGCAACCCCACAAATAAACATTTATTAGTGTGTTTGGCGCTTGATTGCTTGATTACTTGCATAAATAGTATCCTTCCAACAAATTTTAAACTTGGTGCTTTGTTCAAATGCTTCAAGTAGATGAATTTTTTTACTAGGTTGATACTGTTATTTCACAACCGGGTCACTATCTGCGTGCACAAGGCCTCTCCTCTCTACTACTATAACCAACCTCGTGGTCCAATGCCTACAGCTGTCCTGCTGTGCTTTGTCCTTTCTTCCTTATTCCTTTTGCAGTATATCGATCTTTACCTTTACTATTTATGTAGAAGAGAGCTTGCACTTTAATGCCTTAGTAAAAATACTGCTGCAGCATTTCTATCATTCTCTTTTAACTGGTTTGTCTGTTTCTCTTGGTGTCCAAAAGCTCTTTTTTTCTTCTATCTTTTTTTCTATTTCTTTCTTTCCAAACCTAATGTCTGGCTCCTCCTCTAGCAGATTTACGGTAAGCCAACTTGCCATCATGCCAGAAATTACAATTCCTCCCCCTTTTAAAGTTCTTATGTCAATTATTCGCTCCATCGCAAATGTCCTACTCGCCGCTTATAATTTCCATCCTGGAACCATCAAATCGTGAAGCTGTTCAAGGCAAATGGGTTCGAAGCTTTTCTGTGCCCACCATCTCATCTTCTCGATCAAGAAGGTAACTCATCTCCCAACCCTCATCATCAGATCTTGCATCTGGTCGACCAAAACCTTTCCGCTGCCATTTCTTCTACTATTTCCACATCCATATTACCCTACATATCTTCACTCTACCGAGCTTCATACATCCACCTCATCCTATTCACTTTGGCATCACGGCTAGGCCAACCTCACAAAGAAGTTACTACAGCCATCTCTAAACTACCTCAACCTCTCTGCGTCAGTATTTTAAATTTTTGCAATGAATGTACTTCAGCTAAGAGTCACAAACTGTCATTTTCTAAGTATGTTTCTAGTTCTACCTCTCTTTTTAATATCGTTCATTCTGGTGTTTGGGGTCCTGCCCCTATTACTTCACTACAAGGATATAAATATTACTAATGTTTATTGATGACTTCTCACATTACTGTTGGATATTTCCAATGTTTGCTAAATCAGAAACTTCCTTTAAATTTATGCAAGTTCATAAAATGATTCAAACCCATTAAAACACTACAATCAGATGCGGGTGATGAATATAAATCTCTAATCGTACAACAATAACTCTCCACCCACGGCATCTTACATCAACTAAGTTCTCCCTATACTCAACATAATAGGGTAGCCGAACGGAAGCATCGACATCTAATTGAAACAACCCGAACTCTCCTCCTTACCGCTCACCTTCCACCCTCCTTTTGGGCTGATGTCGTACTTACTGCAGCCTATCTCATCAACAGAATGTCAAGCCGAACTCTACAAATGAAATCCCCACATGAAATTCTTCATCTCGTCAAACCCTCTTATAGCCATCTCAAAGTGTTTGGATGTCTATGCTTTCCATGGCAGAAACCTCTTACACCGCATAAACAGCATCCAACCGTACCACCATTCATCTTTATTGGCTATTCATCTCTCCACAAGGGCTACAAATGCCACCAATTATCATCCAACAAAACCTTTATTTCTAGACATGTCATCTTCAATGAGCAATTCTTTCCATAGTCATCCATCCCTTCTCCCAATTCAGATCAACCAACAAACATACACCCATCTCTTCTGCTACCTACTACAATTACAACCAATCTCGCAACTCCACAATCTCTCCACTCCTCCCACCTACAATACCCTCTTCTCCACTATCATATGGTATGAATCAACCCCCAACCCCTACAATCTACCCGATATAAATCCCAACTCGACACTTCTGTCTCAACATCCAATGCTCACGAGATCCCAAAACAGATCATTCTAAACCCAAACAAATTCTTGACCTCAGCATCCGTACCCCTACCTCATCGGAGCCCACCTGCTTCTCCCAAGCCGCCCAACGTGAACATTGGCGCAAAACCATGCCTGCTCAATTTCAGGCCCTTCAACAACAGGTACCTGGGTCCTTGTCCCTTCCTCACCTCAACAAAATATTATAGGCTGACGTTGAACCTATAAAATCAAATGCCATTCTGATGGATCAATCTCAAAATAACATGAACAGTATATATATCTTTACCTTTACCAGCTTGGTACTGTTATTGACTATTAAAGTCTTCAACTCTATTGAGACACAATAAAGTGAGTTAAGACATACTAAAATTTATTGATTCATTTCACCACCAATATAAGTGTCTAAATATGAGCAAATGCAAGAGATAAAATAAGACAGAAATCCGAACAATAAAGAGGAAAATATCCTCAATGATAAGAATAGACAACAATAATAAAGACGATATTGAAAATTTACCTTTTCTTATTCTCTATGATAACAATCTCTCAAGGTTTAATTGATTATTACTAATGCAAACTTTTTATTTGTTGTTGAAGCGATGAGTCAACAGATACAAAATTAACAAAAAAAGGAAAGTTGTTCTACGAATCCTAGGACTCCAAATATTGTAGCATTCTTTGATGTTGATTACGCTCAATTGAAGATTGGAAGCCGACATGGGATACTCTATCTTTATCTGAGGTAATATGACATCTAGAAAAATAAGAAATAAGCTATTGTAGCCAAAATTTATGCTGTGGCTAAGTGCAAATTCATAGCTCATTTTGCGTCTGAAAGGATACGAGTAAAAGAATCATTGAATTTATAGGATTGTATTGTAACAATTGCAGCATCATCTCTATTGACAATAATATTATTTTTCATGTGCCAGATAACTTTTTTGATGTTAACATTTCATAAGATGTATTTTACAGGAAAATTATTACTCCTCAATCATACAATTTGGAATAAGTGATGGATATCTTTAGCAGAATTATAGGTCTCCTAACTTTTTCTCATTTATATAACAAGCAAGTGCAAATGCATATCTGTACTCCAATTTGAGGGGAGAAGTGCTAGTAATCATTTTTTCATAGGTTTTTTAATAGGAAGTAGTTATTTTAGGATATATAACTTGATATTGTCATAATTGGAAGAATTTTTCTCCCTTTTTTTTTTTTCGATAATTGGAAGAATTTTTCTCCCTCCCTTTTTTTTTTTTTCGGAAATGGTTATCTATAAGCTCTCCACATTCAGTCAATAGCACATTCATTTCTTCACAACAAATCCATTTATAAAAGTTCATTAAAAGCTGAATATCCACGAGCTATTGTCGTTTTGATTGTTTATTTAGGGAGCATTATCTATTTCCCACCTTCTCTGCACCAGTTTTTGGACTGAATTTTAAGTTATTGAAACATTCTAAAAGAAAACTTTGTTAAAGGATTCAGACTAATGTGCTAAAAAAAACGGTGTGGTTCACAAGTAGAATGAAAGAGGTTAGCTCAAATGGTAAGCTTCTACTGTCTTCTTTTGCGTGTTTAACTACTATATAATTAGTAGATATTTTACTTTAATTTATCAAACATTTTATTTCAAATCAAAATATAAAAAAATAATAAAATAATAAAAAATAAAAATGATCCCAACAACCTCAAAGTGATTACATTTGATACATTAAACAAGTTCATCAACTGAAAGCCCAAAGTACAATCTTATATTATACATGTTAAAAAAAATGAAATTCAACAATACAATTATGACTGGAACAAAACGGCTATTTCTTCCTGATATTAGCAACTTAATCAACAAAACTTATATGTTACAATAATATTATAAATCGGTGGTAGAGAGTTTCAGAACGATGCACATAAAGCTCGGCCAACCAATGATATCCTGCAAAAAAAAAAGTATCTTTAATTGAAGAAAAACAGATATAGCTTTTGTTATCAAATCTTTTAAGATCTCACTGCATTCTTCTATTATTCTTAATTGTAAGTATTATATATATATATATTGCTTTTAAAAATGAAATTCATTTTGTGTTTGGATCTAAACTGTAATCATTCAAGAGCAAGCCAACGGGGGTGGGTTTGTGGGTGTGGGATCATTGACACGAGATATTTTTGCTTTGCTTATCTTTGAAATACTGCTGACAAACTCAATGAAAGGCAACTTGGACCGAGTAATTGCCGCGAACTATGCAATAACTCACAAAAAATCCCATAACCACCTATTATTTTAATGCAAAACTTCATATTGACTGCTCAAAACTCTTTTCCCAAATAGCTTTTTCTTCTTGATCAAGCCATCCTGGGCTCAGCTCTTAAGACTGAAAACATGGCATGTCATCCTGTTGAGAGAAGACTCCACTTAAAAATAAGAGAATTTTCTCTGATGCAAGTGCATGCAAGAATCGGCTGCTCTCTCATGTTCGAATCGACGTTCATATAAGCTCCAGATATGTAAGGTTAATTGGAACAATTGGCCACAGAATGTGCTCCAAACATTCATGGCTTGCAGAAATGGTTTCACTCTTTCAGCTTCTTGACACTCTTTAATCTTTTGGGCGGCTAATAATTCTTTCTAGAAAGAACATCATGGTATTCTATGGGTTGCTTGGAATCTGCTTTGAACTTGAGCTTCTCAAGCGTACACTTAACAATTGAAGCCACATATTTACTTCTTTCAACGTTTAATTATATAATATGAGACATTATACAATTATACATCCGAATTTTAACATAAAAAATTTTAGAGGTTTGAGTTAACACTAATTAGATAATATTATTTTTTTACGAGCATATAGATGGTTAAGAAGAGAAGAGAGATGATGATGCGGTAAGAAAGGAATTACCACCTTATGTCACTATTAAGTACTAATATCTTGACATAAATGATGACAGCTATCACATAGTTGATTCAAAACTCAAGATTCCAATCTAACGAAAGCAAAAGTACCATTATCATCGATAAATATCTAAAGATTCAAGGATTTGTAGTCACCGTTGTTTAAAGGAACCGAGGGACCAACTAAAGCTAAAATTGGTTGTTATGTCTAGAGAATAAATTCAACATATATCTAGCCAAGATATGATAAAAGTGTCGTTAACAACATTAGCATCAGATGGAAATGATAAAAGATGGTGGCGACGTCAACTGTTTTCGACATTGGTTTGTTCCACTTTTTGCAGAGACGCGGATTTATTAAATTGGCATAATTTGAGAAGTTAGCCGTGCAATGTGAGGCATACTTCATCATACTATTTAGTTATGCATCTCAACTGCAGAGGAGATGTGTTATCATTTTTTATTGGGTTGAAAGACTCAATTAGACAATTATTAGTGCCGGATTGATGATTATTTTGTGCTAGTAGAGGACCAGGTGGGTGAAAATTAACTATCAAATCACTCAGCATTGGGAGCTATTTACATGCAACTTCTCTTTTTTATTTAGATATGTATGAAATTAAATAAGAATTGGGTGGTATTATGTAAATGCCTTCTTTTTTTTATACATTTGAAACAAATGAAAGTTAGTCATACAAATATAAATCATAGTTTTTCTAAAAGAATAGTATTCCATGGCCAAAATACTTGTAAATTATATCTTTTTAATAATAATTTTTTGTTCGTATTTGCATATCTTAACACGTAAACTCTTGGTTTTACATACAAGCCAACTTACCCACACACCCACACACACCCACACCCACCCACACCCATATATATATATATATATATTACTTTTCAAGAGTAAAACTGTTGATATATGTGTTTCTCTTCAATAACTCTGAAATAACCTCTGTGATGTTATTTTAAGATTATTGAAGTGGAATATATTAGTTTTTCTTCAATAACCCTAAAATAACATTCGCGGTGTTATTTCGGGGTTATTAAAGTGAAATATATGAGCTTCTCTTAAATAACTCTGAAATAACCACGAAATAACTTTTGCGGTGTTACTTCAGGGTTATTGAAGTGGAATATATGAGTTTTTTTTCAATAAATACGAAATAACCCTGAAATAACCTCTGCGGTGTTATTTCAAGGTTATTGAAGTGGAATTTATGGTCTTCTCTTCAATAATACTGAAATAACATCCGCGGTTCCACTTCAATAACCCTAAAATAACATCCGCGGTTCCACAGTCCAAACAGTCTGTTTTACCTTTTCGAAGCATCGGGGTTGCTAAGGGCCGGGTCAGGGGTAAAATATACTAAATGAGGAGGGTTCGGTGTAGACACGTGGCGGCATATTACGGAAGTCCGCATGCAGAGCTGCGTCCGGACTCCGTATGAAAACTTTTTTCATATAACAGAGGAATAGTTGGGGAGCAATGGTACAAACAATTCAATTTGGAGGATCTAATGGAAAAAAAATGAAGTCATGTCAGTGGAGTCAGTCAGGTTGATAGTAGGTTGTAGGACATTGTGGTAAGTGTGAAAGGCTACATTGTGGTCAGTGTTTAGTTGGTTCCAATTCTATTTGTGCCAACAACCAGAACATCATATAAAGAATTATCCCATTCTCTTCTAAAGGCCTGCGGAAAAGTATAAACTATGAAGGAATTTGGCTCAAATGAGTATTCAAAATGGATCTATTATTAAAAATGACAGACAGAAAGTGAAAGTTAGTGCAATGAAACATAGCAAGGAACAACTAAAGCAAAATAATCAACTCATTATTTATCCCTTAACTCATTAGCAACCTGCCTGTTAAAATTGGATGGTGTTATTATAAATATGTTATCTTGCACCATATGGGCTGCGTATGAGTTATGATATCCTATATCAGATATTGGAAGTTTGTCATATTCTCTTACAAAATATGTTTGATTTATCAAGTTAAATTTATATTTGTCATTGATGCTAGTATTATGATTTATAAAAATTAAGTAACAAAAATTAAACTTATTTCATAGTGATTTTATAATGAATAGGTCATGCTTTACTTGCACAAAGCAAAAAGTCTTATCAATGACTAATTTCGGGCAAAATTTTAATAAGTTGGGTGATTCTACTCAAGCCTTTTTTTAATAATTTAATTAAAATTTGAATGCTTGATAATTATAATTATAGTAACAAATAGCCTCTAATAATTTTTAAATTAAAGATTTATGATAAAAAAAATAGGAAATGACTAGTACCAATTCTATTGAACCACCACTAGTTAATTCAATGTTAGAAGTGCGGTAGGAGCCGAAGCGGACAAGGAAGACGAAGGAGAGTCGAACACTACACTGTGCAGCTTCAGCTTCGACTTCCAAAGAGAGAAATGTAGATCAAAATGGAGACAACAAACTTGGTAGTCCATGCACGAGTGAACATCAGGAGAGATTAGAAAGCAGGTCAAAAGCGTGCAGAGTTCAGGATCGAATGATGAGATAGTTTGATTGCATGATTGGGTCACAAGCAATAGATAAAGCATACGTGCAGTGAAGACAATATTTAAGTACCGGATAGAAGCGATCAGACCAATACGAGAGATTGGGTCAAGCATCAAAAGCCTCAAAGATTAATGACTTATCAAGTTTGAATTGCATTGATTTTGAGGGGGAAGAAACCTAGGGTAGGGTTACTTTTTTTTGAATTACTTTGATTGAAATATTATGTTAGGATTTTTCGAGAATGTGAGACGACCTCGTAGATAGCATTCTTTCTTGTTGTTTCAAGGTAAAATCTGAATCTTAGAAAAAGTTTTATTAATTAAATGCATTCTTTCTTTAAAATAACCAAAAACTAAAACCTTTGGCTCACAATTTCCAAGAAATAAGACTTGTAATGAAAGCAATCCTCCAACACTGCAGCATGACTGCAAACATGATTCACCCATAAACTGTTTGTTGCTAATTGCTTTCGAACTTCCATTATAGGCCCATTTTGAATAATAAAGCAAACCAACTCCAATTTTAGGGAAATCAGCTTCAACAAGAATGTTAGCGATGGGCAAGAAGATACGGCGTAGTTTGAGGACAAACAATGAACGGACTCAAAACTGAATTTTGTTGCATTGAAGGCAATTGTAAAAAAACTGTCATTCCTAAAGCAGATTGTTGTTTTCAAGAAAAATTACTGTTTAGAATTTGTACTTTAATCTTAACAGCGTATTCTCTTTGATATAGAATATGTAGGCAAACTATAGTCAACACCATAGGCAGTTATAAACAATGTTTAGCATCGTTTCAGAACGCTAACTCCCAAAAATAGGAAATAGGCTACATTGGATCAATAAAGCGGTCACTCCAATAAATCAGACAAAAAAATTAAAATCATAGAAAAATTTATTTATACCTGACTTTGTTGCAAGCCATAAGTGCACCCTAAATGGTGTGGTCCTGGAAACCCCAATAGCAAGAAACAAACATAAAATTGCGAAAACAATTATTTGATTACGTCAAGCCTCCTCATTAATAACTTCCCTCACTAACATAACCCTTCCATAAAACTCCTGCAACAGCAGCAATATCAGAATAAATAACAAAGAAATGGAAGTTAACCAAATAATAAATCCGATAAAAACATATATCCAGCAAGAACTTTACTCTCCTAAAGCCTAGACAATGTAGCCCATCAATATGATTAAAATGATTTCTTTTATAAGGATCTGAAAAACAGACATGTGGAACATTAAGCGCTCAGAGCCCAATAGAAATGTAGAGTTGAGCTTGAGTGAACTCAGTGCTTATTCATGTTCTGCTTGTTCAAATTTTAAAAAAAAATGGTCTTGTATTTGAAATTAGTCATGAATAGCATATCGTGTTCGGCTCTCAATTCAATTTTATTTGTTTGTTGCAGCTCATATTAGGCTTGAAATTAGCTCTAATGACTTTAAAAAAATAAATTTTAATATTTTTTTGAACAAAACATAAAAAATTAATATATAATATTATAATATTACTTTTTATTTAATTATTTGATTAATTCGAGCTAAGATGATTCGAATGTGATAGAAAAAAAAATCCGCATCTCGGTTATAAATCTAGCTAAAAAAAACAATTTGTGCTCAACTTACTTACTTAACAAATGAATCAAACAAGGGTTACTCAGCAAGCCAAACACGAGCTATTCACGATCGATGAGCATTTTGGATAGCCCTAGAGCTTAGACATATGTATAATTTTAAACAGGGGGAGAAATTACCGATCCATCTGCTTTTGTCGCAACCTTGACTGCATCAGGTGAAGAGAAAGAAAGAAATGCATAGACACGATTTTTCCCTCGCTTACGATCATGAAGCACCCTCGTGCTAACAACTGTTCCAAACTGACTAAAATGTTCCCTCAAATCTTCAGGTCTAGTTGACCAGGAAAGATTTCCGACATAAATCTTATGAGGACTTTCAAAGACAAAGTTCTTTTTAGGTGCAGAGTTCAAAGCCTCGACATTTTTTCTACCAGAAACCATGTCAACTGAAAAATTAACTCGCATTTCACGTCCGGCGATATCCTGGACATGCAAAAAGTATAATATAATAAAATAAAATAAAAAGATGGAAGATTTAATGAAATTATAAAAAAATTTGTCGGCTTACAGATCCATCCAAAGCAGCTATTGCATATTTTGCTTCAGAAATTGAGCCCATTGTAACAAAACCACACCCACGACTAATGCCAGTCTCAGGATCCCGTGATACCTGCATCATATTCAACCATGCCTTATCATGTATTCTTCTCATCAAAATGGAAAATAGGAGCTCATTGTAAAGTGGTTTCAAATAATGTAAATTTACAGCAGTAAGAATTTTTCATGCAACATCTAAACAAACTACAAAATGTTGAAATTATTACACATCAAAGTAGAAATAAATTTGCCTGTTTAATTTGTCCCATAAATCATATATGAACATATTCACTTCAAACATAAGATTTATCCAAACATGAAATTGTTGCAAAAATAACTTCTACAATTTGGATACAATCACCACCACCACCAAAGAGTCTTTCTTGCAACATAATTTTCATATTACTTCTCAACAAATGCATCGTACATTTAATTGCTTAAACTCCAATTACCGACATATTTATCCTTTTAAACACTTTCAATACTAGAATTTAATATTATGTCATATCACTAACAGTAACCAAATTACTAGCAGTATATCCGGTCAAATATGTAAATAAATATCTCCATTTGAATAAGGCAACTTAAGATAGTATGTAAATTGGAGATACTATAATAACACATGTAAAAAAACCTACAAACTGGTTTAGCTCAGATTAACATGGTCAAATCTCAAAAACTCATAATAAACGTAGAACTAATAGCAAGCCAATAAAGGCTGCTCAAATACTATATAAGTTCACCCATATGATAAGCTAGCATCCAATTAGGTAAAGGAATATGAATTAGTTCATAGGCCGACCAAAAGTTTGACAAAAAGAAGTAAAGAAGACAGTTTTTTTAAGGAGAGCTAATGAGTTCTTGTTAAATACATGGAATCACATAGTTACATCTGTTTATTCATGCACTCCTTAGCTTCAATTACTACAGATGATACTGACTCACATTTGATGCAATCTCTTTCTATCAATGTATGCAACTAATACTCACAGCAATTTACCTCCATGTATTATGGTTAGATCCACATGTTGTATAAAAAATGATCTTTATTTGTTAGAATCAAATGAAAATAAGACACTCAATAGGACACCATGAAAGAAAAAAATTCATGTACCCGACCGCATCTAGTGGGATAAAGGCTTGTTATTATGGCTACATCCGCTCATTATGACATCTCATCGATCCATGTGCTCAAGGATGCAACCTTATCAATCCATGTGAAAAACGTTATTGTAATTAATTTTATTTTACTTGTTGATTTTGTATATTTTATAATAAGTAACTCTTCTAGAGTAGTATAAATATGAGTCAAACACGGGAATAAAACTAAAGCAATTCATGCACAATTTTGTTTATCATAGTATTAGACGGTATTAAATACTTTCTTTATCCCTCGTAAAGATCCTCTAAAGATCACGTTATCTCATTTTTAGCTCAAAACAGATGTTTATTTTCATTCATTGGCTGGTAAGGGACACATGAAGATCCCACGAGAATCTACTATTTTGTAAGGCGTCTCCTGCTATTGTTTGGCCAACTATTGTTCGTTAAGTATGAAGAAAATCCCCAAAGGATCTCCTGTTCACACAAGTCTCCCACTTCGCTAATCTACTCACATGCAGCTTCGACTGTATGCTCAATTAGCAATCCCGAAAGGAACCCTTGTTTGCACCCATTAGGAATCAAGATCGTGCCTTAAGCAAAGCTCCAGCTTTGCATTGGAAAGTTTGGCCCTTCACTTCCACAAGCCTTCAATTACTCAAGAATCATGATCCTGCTCTATAACTCAAAATCCTAAATCGGACAAGTTCACCCTTGAGAGTCTCCAACCCATAAAAAGCTTCATGTCTATTAGAACTGTGGTTCGATTCTGCTTTGCCTTTTGCGAACTTTTCCGTCAACTGTGATTTTGTGAATTGCATTTGCAAGCCATATATTAGATACAAATCTCAACATTTCCCCTCAAGTTGGGTGAAAGATATTCACTAAACCCATTTTGTCACATAATCTAGTTAACTCCGCTGAGCTAAGTCCTTTAGTGAAGTAGTCAGTTGTCTGCTATCCAATAACTACATGACTTAGTTCCAACAATCTGTTATTCAGCTTCTCCTTGATGAAAAATCAATCAATCTCCACATGCTTAGTTATATCGTGTTGCACCAGGTTGTTAGCAATGTTGATTGTCGACGTTGTCACACCACAACTTTATTTGAGTTTCCTGATCAATTTTGAGTTCAACCAACATAACTTTCTTTGAACAGCCGCATCATCTCAACAACTTCTAATGTCATGGTCCTGTATTGTGCCTTTGTTGTAGATCTTGCTACAATTGACTATTTCTTCCTCCTCCACGAGACCAAGTTGTCACCTACAAACATGTAGTATCCTGATGTGGAACGTCTTTCATCAGCATAATTTGCCCAATCAGAATCACAAAAGCCCTCAACATGTCCATACTTCTTGATAATTAAGACAAATTTAAATAATTTATTTGAATTTTGAAATTTGAAATTCGCATTTAGGTGAGTTGGTGCCTAGCCCGTGCTCAGCCCGAGTCCAACCTGAATTGAACCCGAGTCGAACCTGGGTTGAGCCCAGGCCCGCGCCCCGCTAATTAAAAAAAATGTGCATCGATTTTCGCGTCGTTTGTGCAAGTGCATAACCATAGTGATATGGGTGTCATTTCTAACTAAGTTCGACGTTCCGGAAGCGTCAGCGCAGTCCGTTTCTTCATCTGGAGTTGTCCAAGCAAGTTTGCCGACGGTCGGCCAAAAAAAATATGTCTACTTCATGTGTGTAGCGAGTGTGTTGCTGAGTCACGGAGGGTTCACCTAAAGCCGTCTGATCCTGTAGGAACTCATTTTAGAGTCATCTACATGTTGGTCCTTAGCCCTTGCAACTAGGAGTTGAGTGCTTGGAACCACTCATGCGAGTTCTTCACAAAACGAGTGAAGAAGTGGTTTGAAGTTCTACGGGAGATGGGCTCCATTACCAGTCTGCTAAGATGGTCAACAAGGAACTCCTAAGGCTAGATTTTGGGTTCTGGGAGTAAAAAACTAAAACCTCAATAAAAATGAGGTCAACAACATCTACACGTCTCTCTCTCATTTGGTAAGTTTGTTCATATCTTGTTCAGGTGTCCCACTTCTCCACAGTTGTAGCACCTAAGAGTCTCCCCTTGAGCACATGTCCTATCTGAGCTCGGGGCAGCCAAAGCTGATCGCATTCCTGGAAGTCCACTCGGCTGAGTTGAAACACGTGTTCAGGTAGTGGCTCCTGTCGAGAGTTCAACCAAGATCTTCAAAAATTTAGTAGTCATCTTCACCAAAAATTTCAATCATTTACTTCCTGCACTATCTTCATCTTCTAACATCCTCAATCACAATGATAAATCTAGAACATACATAACACATGGGACTACCTTCCTGTAAATTCATGTTATCCGCTTTCTCACCTGCAAAAAGCTGCAACCTCTGTCCCGCAAGCAAAATCATAGCCGCTTCGATCCTTCGCCTCCCTTCCCTCGAGTGGAACTCCAAAAATGAAATCCTGCTCCGCTGCCTTCCTAACTTCTGAGACGCAATTCCACAATTTCGTACGTAGCAGACCTGTAGTAGCCATCTCAATTACCTCTAATTGCGATTGTATGACTGTATCCTTCAGGCCGTGTTGTGTCGTCGTCCTTATAGGTGAGAGACGCTACTCTGTGGTGCGAAACAGGAAGGCAGCCGTGCAATCTGACTGTTTGTACGCCGACAGTCCTGACCTCCATGTCATCTCATCCTAAGCTAATCTTCGTGATCTACTTCCTATTTATCATAATCAACTTCTTGCAGCCTTCCCTATTAGTATGATTGCATCCCGAGAGTCTACGCCACGCCGCGATCCCCTTGTTAGCTGTAATCGCGATGATTTCAAAATGAATAGGCCGCCCTTCTCAACAGTTAGTTACTGCTTTATGAAGAAGCCACGTCGATCCCTTCGTTGTTGTCCTAACTTCCCTCCATGCTTGAATAGATGGTCGGTCTTACTCGCACAATCCCACACCTCCCTCGCACAGATTTCCTCGTCTGCGTTTTGACTCTGGCATTTCTTAGCAGCCTCAGCCTCTCATGGAAGACAAAGACGCTCCTCCTCTCGACGACCAGGTAATTCTGCCTAAGTTACCTTTGGTGCAAGGGCAGCCACACGGTTCGCCTTAAGGTTTGGCTTGCGACTGGCCTTCTCTAGATCGAGGAGCTCCTGTTCGGCGAGATTGTGATTCTCAATGCATCGAGCCTCTGCCCCAGCCTTCCGTTGTTCTGTGCTTCTCCTTGTCTCGCCTCCAAGCCACGCAAGTCTCTACTGGAAGCTCGTGATTCCGTCATTGACTTCCCAGTGCTTAGCAATCGCCTTCCCAGTCGGCTCTGATACCATGAAGAAAAAAATTTTGATAAAAATCTTATTCATTTCATTAACACTTTGGCTTATATAGATCCTTACAACATTAACAAATAAACCCCTAAGCTTCTTCTATTTACAAAAAGAACCCTACATTAGATAATAATCTCAACACTTTTCCCATTGCCACTCTCCAATTTCTCAATTACAAGTTCATCATGTCAGCTACGGCAAACGTATCAACCAACAATTCAAATGTCTTCGTCATATGGCCCTAGTAAAATATTAATTCACCAATGAATTTCAATTTTGATTCTTTGTTATAAGAAAAAATCATGTCAGCAAAATGATGGGAGCAGTCATGCTCCTTCCGAACAATAAGAATTGGCCCAATGACAAAATAAAGATACAACATTTAAGAGCTTTGTCATTCAAGTGATTCTTTTTAATCTAAGACCCTTAAAACAAGCAAAATATGGAGAATATTAATGAAAAATTTTAATCAAGCTAATTTAACCATACATTTTCAATTAGAATATGAGACTTTTAAGTTACACCTAAGGAGATCTCTCAATATAGAGTTATTTTTTGGGATTCAAAATTTATGAATTAAGTTAGTGGATATAATTTATGCAAAAATACCTATTTCTCTTTTGGTGGCTCAAGAGTTTCACAAAGAGAGCAAAACAAAAA